GACCCTGTATAGGGTTTCTGAGGAGCAGCTGGTGAGCTTGAACTGACGGCCTTGCAGTTCAAATGGCTTTGCAGTCTGGTGCATTAACCCACAGTGCCATACCAGGACTCCTAATGGTGGTTAATGCGCTGGAATGCAGTTGGTCTGTATGGGTCGGAACCTATTTGATGACATAGGAAAAAAAGAAAGTTCCAAAACACGTGGCATATCCCTGAAATCCTTGGAAACAGTTTATTTGTGATGGTCCCATGAAGGCCTCAAATGGTATTTCTAGGAATGAGCCATGCAGTTTCTTCCCTCCCTTCTGTTTTTTTGTTTTCAAGTTTCTATATTGATTTAGGACTACCGATAGATTACTCTGCCTTTTCTGTTGGAAAACTGGTGACAAAATGTAGTCTCCCTTCTTCAGAGAACTTACTTCTGTGAGTGAGTTAAATGTCTACTTTTATAGAAAGTACTTGTATATAAATAATTTGTCTGTAGATTACCTGAAGGGTAAGTGAAATGTAGAGATACTTTTACTATGTATCCTGTTATGAAATGAATCAGGACTTCCATCATAGGTAAGAGGAAACAAAACAATGTAGCTAGAGTAAATGGTCTGGATTTTTCTCTGTTGTGATCCAGAGAGTATATTATGTATTAGGTTTTCATCTATCAAACAGAATCACTAGCTTTCTGTGTTGTCCCTTTATTTTTCTTTTGGAAATAAGATTCTACAGGAGAGCATTAAAAAGACTTGGACAGTTGTGGATGCAAGAACCCTAAAGAAAGAAGATATTAAAAAAGAAACAGTTTATTGCTTAAATGATGATGATGAAACTGAAGTTTCAAAAGAGGACACTATCCAAGGTATGTCAGTAAGAGTTTTCACTATTGCCTAAAAGAGATTTTCCTCAGGATGAGAAGATGCAGCCTATAATTTCTCTAGATTTTTATTGGTTTGGATATGAGCAGACTTCAAAAAGTTTGAGGAAAATTTTTACTGAAGTTTTTTTTGGGGGGTGGTGGGCGGGTAGGAGTAGGAGTTAAGATTAGGGCTATGGCGGCTAGGCCTAGGACTTTGTTTAGTGTTAGGGTTATAGTTAGGACTCGGGTTAATGTTAGGGGTAGGGCTTGGACTAGGACTAAGGCTTGCCCTGGTTTTAGAGCTACAGTTAGATTTATTTAATTTTTTTTCTTAAAGTCTATTTCTTCATTTGGAAGTTCTGTAACTACTTTAATTCCCTCCTTTTATGATTTTTTGTAAACTGGTATCACTGGTTCCCTTTGAACAGTTTTGTAGGTTTGTTTTACTTAGAGTATTTCTGTATCTGAGTTGCATTCTGGATGATATTGTCAGGTATGTTAGTCTCAGGTTGTTGTCTCATATTGTTGGTTCTCTGTCCAAAGAACGCCCTTTAAATTTTTTTTGTAAGGTTGGTCTAATTTTTTTGCAAATTCTTTTGCTTATTTGGAAATGTAATTTCACCATTATATCTGATGTACAGTTTTTCTGGGTGTATGATTCTTGGTTGGCAAGTTTTTTCCTTTCCGTTTTATGTCATCCCATTGTCTTCTTACCCTTATGGTTTTTGCTAAGAAAACAGCTTAGTCTTGTTCCCTTTTGCAGGTGACTGATTTTCTCGAATTGTTCTCAGGATTCTTTCTTTGTTTTTGGTTTTGAAAAATTTGACTATATGTCTTAGTGATTTTCATTTGGAGTGTATCATGATTGTAGTTCATTTAACTTCTTGAATGGCTATCTTCTCATCTTTCATGATACGAGAGAAATTTTCTGCTAACAATTCTTGTACAATTTTCTGGTTTTGTTGTTTTCTGTCTCTTCCTATTCTAGAATTCTGGATTCCTGGTGTGGTGCTGTAGGAGAAGCACTAGACCGTTAAGGTCAGTTTGAACTGTGCATGGTCGGTGGTTCAAACTCATTAGCTGCTCCTCGGAAACCCTATACAGGGCTGCTATCAGTCAGAACCAACTCAGTGGCACTTAATTCTAGAATCCTAATCATATTAGGAATAATTCTAAGTGGCTTCTGTTAATAGTGTCTGACCTAAATCCTAGACTTTCTTCAGGTTTTTAAAATCTGTTTTCTGATTGTTCCCCCGTTGTTCTTGTTGTTAAGTGTTGTTGAATTGGTTTTGACTTGTAGCTGAGGAGCAGCTGGTGGGTTTGAACCATGGACGTGTGGCTAGCAGCGCAGTACTTGCCCTACTGCTCCACGCCAGGACTCCTCTGGCAGCTGACTCTTGAGAGATTTGTCCTCAAGCTCAGTTAATTCAGCCTTCCATTGATTCACTTCTACTTTGTCCTTTCTGAGTTCCTAATCTTCTGGTTTTACTGTTTTTATATGATTTTCAGTTTTCATTTCTTTTTTCAGTTTCTTCTTGTAGTGTTTTCTTAAATTCTGAGTTTTTCTGTTTTCTGCTTGCTTTCCACAATCTTTCCCTCAGTCTGTTGAAGGCATACTATTTAAAAAAAAATTCCATATCAAGTAGTTTGTACACCATTTCTGGTATTATATTTTATGACTCTAAATTCTGGCCACTTGTTTGAGGCAGTCTGTCTGGTTTCTTTGTGTAGGCTGAAAGTGTGTGTTTTCTCCTAGACATTATGGTGTCATGGCATTTATAGTTACTTGATGATTGTATGTTGTGTTCTCAGGCACTCAGCAATTGCTTCCGAGTGGAAGTGTGACCACTGTCAGGTTTTCTGTTCACTGTTTGGGCAGCATAGTTGAGGGAATGTTCATGTGCCTCCAGAGGCAAGGGGGCACACTCACTCTATAAACAAGTCTACTGCCCCAAGTCACTCAGTTTTACTTGCCCTGTGCACTGGGAAGCCCACCACTCTTGGCTCTTGATTCTGCTGCTTCTGTTCCTCCTCCCTGTTTCCAGTGTCGTAGCTTTTTATCCCTGAGTCGTGGAGGTTCAGTGTCTGGGAATTCAGGATCCAAAGGATGTGCTTCACTCCTGGCTCTTCTTTGATGTTAGTGAGCTCCCCCTTCTTGTTTCTGAGCTGGTTCATTTTATACCCATGCTAGAGTTTCAGGTTGTTTTTTTTTTTTAATGTTTTATTGTGAATTATATGATAGTTTACATGAGAGAACCTCAGTTCCATATTCATTCCATCATATATCATTACATTGCCATGGTTCCAATCCCCTCTATGCATTGTCTTCCGACCAAAGGGCATATCCTAGAAGCCCATGCTCTACACTCCCCTCTCCCCCGTCAGTCTTTGGCCCACAGTTCCTCTTCCTCTCTGGATCCAGAGTCCCCAGCCGCTTCATCCCTCCATGTCATCATCTCTGTCTCCATCTCAGGCATCCCCGGTTCTCTGGGTGGGGTCCCATTCTCAGCTCTTATCCATTGGTGGTCCCAGAGACCTCCGATCCTAGACTGGAGAAATAATAGCTCTCTTCCTTGCTACAAAACATCTACCCTTGCATTTCCAACATTCACAATCCGTCTTGATAACCATTATTCACTACAGTATTGCACGTAACCCATCTGTATTTCATTTCATCAGCTCCACCTAGACAAATTGGATAGTACTCACTGGTGACTCTGCCTTCCTCCATGTCCCCTAGCTCTAGGTTCCCTCTTG